ATTCGTGAGATTCCATCACCTGCAACATTTGCTCAGTTACACCTCAACTATTTATGGCCACCAAACTCATTAATTAGCAGTGTCTTACCCAGGAGCCCCAGTCCCCTTTCCTCTCAGTAATTCACTATTCAACTATACTTTATAACTCACTTTCATACTTTCTCGCTCACTCACTCATATTTACATTCTCACACCCTCTCTCACTTTCTCACTTCATTTTCTCACTTTCCCACCCACTCTCACAATCCCAGTCTCTCACTCTCTTTCTGCCGCTCCTTTAAATATCTTACGTTTCTTTTTGATGGTGAAGAGTGCCTGGCAGACTCCGCTGAGAGGCACAGGGTCCTCCATGACGAAGATGACGCGGTCTCTGTTGATCTTGGTAAAAAGAAGAATGTCGGTGAAGAGCATTGCCCAGTGCTGCTTCAGGTGACGACCCTCAAACTTGTACAGCTCTCCGCCGAACACCCACTGCCGCCGGGCCTCGTCCAGGCGGAAGGGCTGCCGGAGAGGAAGAAACGATGATTGTAGCAAATGTTGGTGAAATTTGATAGTGGAGATGGTGGTGGGAAGGACAGTCAGGGATTTCAAGTAATTATGTGTGAAGCATGGAAGCACGTGCACCATCGTTCAGTCTTGCCAAGTGTGAACACACCGCAAAGTACATGGTTATAAATGACCATAATTTTTAAAGGGGTGGACCGGTAAGCCAGCGGAAGGCCTCGGTCAGATGACCAAAGCTCCAAAGGCGAGTCATCATCTGACTAAGACCCGCATCAGGAAACATTTGTCCTGTTTCCTGACGAACCTTACCTAACCGGTGAACAACATCCTTAATATAACTTTGTTCTTCCTTCAGAAGAACAAAGGAGGGAAGGAAGAACAAATTGAATTTAAAATTAAAATTTGAGAGCTATGTTGTCCATTATTTTTATTAGACAGGTATACTCAGAACAAACAGCATGTGAACAATTGTGATAAGACTGCTCTGCAGTTTACTGTGTAACGTCGTCCATATAACAGCTTCATCAGTAACCCGCGTCTTCTGTCTTCATACTTGTCGGAAATGTGTAGTTTCAGAGGAGCAAAGAACAAAGCTTTTACTCTAAAAATAATTCAAGCAAAAAAACAGTTCTGCTGGTTCAGGCAAAGTGTCAGTTGTGAACACTGATGAATCAGCTGGTCCAGACTATCAGGAGTAATCAGTGTCAGCTGATGAGTCTGCTGGTCCAGACCATCAGGTATCAACGAATCAGCTGGTCCAAACCAAGTGTCATCTATTTTAACTCTTTAGTCAGATGGTCCAGGTGTCGGTTGAAAATAGATATGTACCAGCTGCGGTACGTAATACACGAAAATACTCTCAATAATTGGATACCCAATCCCTGATCTAAAACAAGAAATCAAGCGTATGAAACCAGAAATAAAAAAAAAACAGAAGACAAGAATCAACAGCCAGAAACGAAACACCAAGAAGCAAACACCTGAACGCAGTATCCAAACACCTGAAATAAACACTTGGAATAAGATATCAATCATCAGAAACGGTGTACCAGGAATCAAAAATACCTAAAATCATAAACCACCGTCTGGAATGAGAAAAAAATAACATGCACCGGATACTACCAGAAACTAATCACTAAAAACAGGAATAGAATATGAAATCTAAATTCTGAAACAAAAGGATAAAAAACACCTGAAATTTTAAAAACACCTTGCGGCAATGTTTCTGGCGTCTGGTTACATAAACCAAATACCAGAAACACTGACACAGAAATTAAACACCATAAGCACTTGACTCTAGCAACCAAACAGCAAAAATACCCAAAGCCAGAAACCAAACACCATAAACACTTTGAACCAGAAACTAACCAGTTAGACCTTGAACTAGAAACCAAATACTGGCAACACCTGGCTCCAGGAAACAAAGACCGGAAATATCTAAACTAGAAATTGAACCCCAGAAGTAAACATTAGCAACCAGTAAATAAACATCAAGGCAACATCTGCTGCCAGAAATAAACAAAAGAACTAAACACTTTGAACCAGAAACCAAGCGCCAAAAAAGTTTGTCTAAAGAACGGTATGTGTTGTTAAGATTTAGAAGACTGGAAATGTAGAGAAGACAAGGAACAGGAGATTTCACAGAAAAAAGACAGAGAAGAAAGTCGGTTAAGCAGGCGAGTAAGCAGTGTTTATAAAATTAGGAAGGTAGTCAAGGCAGAGAACAAGCTGCTTAGAGTGGCAATTACGAATCATGAAACAAAGTCACATGCGGATGACACGGAGATAGAAAGTAGAACTTTCCTTAACATATAGAGCATGATAATTAAAGTAGTAAATAGACATGCCACTGTGCACTGGTTTGCCACAAACTGAAAAAGAAAATCATTTGTTCTCAGAAACTAAACATCTAGAACCAAACACCAGAAAGCAATATATCTTGAAGAAGTAACCAAAGTCAAAGTAAATAATTGGATTCAGAAAATAAAGACTAGAAACAAACACCTGGGACCATAACTCAAGCATCAGGAAAAATATTGGAACCAGAAACCAAACACCAGAAACAAATACCTACAACCAGAACCATAAAGCAAATACCTGGAATCAAACTAAAAAAATACTTGGAACCAAAATAAACACCAGAATCAAACACGTGGAACCAGAACTCATGATAAACCAAGGTTCTCACCTGAGTGAACTTTGTGAAGACGAGGCGCTGTTCAATGTCAGCTACAGACACAAGGGGTGGACGGAGGGGGACGGAGCACCTGGTCACACCTGGTGTGTGTGTAGCGCCGGGCGGCCCAGAAGGCGGTGGCTGGGGAGGGGCCGGCTCCATAATGTTTTGTTGCGTCGTCACATCTCTGTAGCACTCCTGTAGGGACGGAGGATAGGGAGCATAGTAGTAGCATTGTTTTTGGGAAAGAGGGTGGAGGTGAAAGATGTGGCCCTCCTGCAGGAGGAGAGAAGAAATGGTGCATAGTTGTGGCACTCTTGTAGCGAGGGTATATAGGCTGTGGAACTCTGTAGTGAAGATGGAAAAGGGCACAGATTGCAGCATTCCCGTAGAGTGGTAGGCGAAGATGTTTAATTGTGGCACTGCCGTGGGAAGGGGAAAATACAGGTTGATGCACTCCTGCAGGGAAGATGGGAAGGAAAGGAATGTCTCTCGCTATTACCAGACACAGGATCGAGCCTCAGCCTCTCCTTGCGTTGAAGGTATTGGGATTTACCTTATACTATGTTCAAGAAGTCATCCGTTGCTCTCTCTATATATAAAAAAAAGCTCTTGCAGTACATGATTTACGAAACCGTTAAACCACGATTGTATATAAATATTAGAAAGAGGAGCTTGAACTCATGGCAAGAAAATCCTGAAATCCTCAATAGGTTAAATTTCTATATATAATAAGAATGTTAGCATGGGCCTAACTGTAACCACAAATGCAGGTTTTTGCAGTCGAATCCCACACCAGCATGGTTGTAGTGTGCTCTAGCTCAAGTTCCCTTCAAAACTGAGTACTGGCGGCGTAGAGGAGACTTGAGTTTGCCACGAGTACTAGCATCACCAGTTCCGTGATTTCTTTTAATACATAAAACACACACACACACACACACACACACACACACACACACACACACACACACACACACACACTAACCTCTACAGTTGAAATTAAAGCCCTCAAAATATAGAAAGAAAACCCATTTGATTAAAAATTCATTTAAATTAAAACCACCAGAAATATCACTAAACTCTACATCTATCACAGTGATAGGCTTCCTATCCTAAATGACGTACGGAGGTGATAATATCCAAATACACAGTGGATCTCATACTCACCTTGAGGCGCTCGAGGACGGTATCGAGGTAAGTGTTGTCTTGGTGACCAGGAGAGACTGAGTACACCTGCGTCAGGAGACCCAACACCTCTCGCAGGTGCTACAGGAAAACAAACTATTATTTGCAGGGTGCCATAATTTAGTTAAAATTTTTCCTAATAGATTACATGCAAATGTAAAAATACAGGATTTTCATGAAAATAAATTATTTAAATTATTACATATACTGATCCAGCCAAAAGCACTCTCCTTGGTCCTCCTCTCGTGTGATCACTCAGTTTTAACATATCATGGAATTCCCCTAATAATGGCAATCAAGTCTCCGTCCCTGACTTTCGCTTGGCTGATTTCATAGGACTGAAAAATTACTTAGGTGGGCTGAACTGGAATGACCTGACTAGGGGTCAGGTAGGTGGTGATGGTTGCCGATATGATGCTTTCCAGGGCATAGTTCTAGCTGCTCAGTCAAATTATGTTCCAAATAGGGAAATCAGATCAAACAAAAATGATCCTAAATGGATGAACAATAGATTAAAATATCTGATTGGTCAAAAGAGAGGCATATATAGGCAAATCAAAAGAGGAGAGGGGCAATTAAGAAATCGATATATTCAGTTAAAGAGAGAAATAAAAAAGGGAATTAGAAAAGCAAATAGAGATTATGAGGTTAAAGTTGCAAGAGAATCGAAGACTAACCCAAAAGGATTCTTTCAGGTATACAGAAGTAAGATCAGGGACAAGATAGGCCCACTCAAAAGTTCCTCGGGTCAGCTCACTGACAGTGATAAGGAAATGTGTAGAATTTTTAACACATACTTCCTCTCAGTTTTTACACAGGAGGATACCAGCGATATTCCAGTAATGATAAATTATTGTAGAACAGGACGATAATAAACTGTGCACTATTAGGGTCACAAGTGACATGGTCCTTAGGCAAATAGATAAATTAAAACCTAACAAATCCCCAGGCCCTGATGAACTGTATGCAAGGGTTCTAAAGGAATGTAAAGAGGAGCTTAGCACACCTTTGGCTAATCTTTTCAACATATCACTACAAACTGGCATGGTGCCAGATAAGTGGAAAATGGCAAATGTGATACCTATTTTCAAAACAGGTGACAGGTCCTTAGCTTCGAACTATAGACCAATAAGCCTAACCTCCATAGTGGGAAAATTTATGGAATCAATAATTGCCGAGGCAGTTCGTAGCCACCTTGAAAAGCATAAATTAATCAACGAATCTCAGCATGGTTTTACAAAGGGGCGTTCCTGCCTTACGAAATTTATTAACTTTTTTTCACTAAGGTATTTGAGGAGGTAGATCATGGTAATGAATATGATATTGTGTATATGGACTTCAGTAAGGCTTTTGACAGGGTCCCACATCAGAGACTATTGAGGAAAATTAAAGCACATGGAATAGGAGGAGAAATTTTTTCCTGGATAGAGGCATGGTTGACAAATAGGCAGCAGAGAGTTTGCATAAATGGGGAGAAATCAGAGTGGGGAAGCGTCACGAGCGGTGTTCCACAGGGGTCAGTGTTGGGCCCCCTGCTGTTCACAATCTACATAAACGACATAGATGAGGGCATAAAGAGCGACATCGGCAAGTTTGCCGATGACACCAAAATAGGCCGTCGAATTCATTCTGACGAGGACATTCGAGCACTCCAGGAGGATTTGAATAGACTGATGCAGTGGTCGGAGAAGTGGCAGATGCAGTTTAATATAGACAAATGCAAAGTTCTAAATGTTGGACAGGACAATAACCATGCCACATATATAACTAAATAATGTAGATCTTAATATTACGGATTGCGAAAAAGATTTAGGAGTTCTGGTTAGCAGTAATCTGAAACCAAGACAAACAGTGCATAAGTGTTCGCAATAAAGCTAATAGAATCCTTGGCTTCATATCAAGAAGCATAAATAATAGGAGTCCTCAGGTTGTTCTTCAACTCTATACATCCTTGGTTAGGCCTCATTTAGATTATGCTGCACAGTTTTGGTCACCGTATTACAGAATGGATATAAATTCTCTGGAAAATGTACAAAGGAGGATGACAAAGATGATCCCATGTATCAGAAACCTTCCCTATGAGGATAGACTAAGGGCCCTGAAACTGCACTCTCTAGAAAGACGTAGAATTAGGGGGGATATGATTGAGGTTTATAAGTGGAAGACAGGAATAAATAAAGGGGATGTAAATAGTGTGCTGAAAATATCTAGCCTAGACAGGACTCGCAGCAATGGTTTTAATTTGGGAAAAAATTCAGATTCAGGAGGGATATAGGAAAGTACTGGTTTGGTAATAGAGTTGTGGATGAGTGGAACAAACTCCCAAGTACCGTTATAGAGGCCAGAACGTTGTGTAGCTTTAAAAATAGGTTGGATAAATACATGAGTAGACGTGGGTGGGTGTGAGTTGGACCTGATAGCTTGTGCTAACAGGTCGGTTGCCGTGTTCCTCCCTTAAGTCAATGTGACCTGACCTGACTAGGTTGGGTGCATTGGCTTAAGCCGGTAGGGACTTGGACCTGCCTCGCATGGGCCAGTAGGCCTTCTGCAGTGTTCCTTCGTTCTTATGTTCTTATGTTCTTAATTCGAGGAAAAAAAGTGTTAGACATCAGGGTGATGGAAGGCAGGATGGAAGGCAGGATGAAAGACATGCCTTCTTACTCACCAGATGTCTGTCCCTCACAAAACTCGCCTATTTCTTGAGATGCTCCCCGGCTTTCGACAATCCAAACCTCAAGGTATATGACTTCCTTATAAAGTCCATGCTAGAGAGAGTACTGAATATTTCCCTTGAAGATGAACAGTGTCCGCAAGCCTCATCTCCAGTCAGACTTGGGTGGTTGAGAATATGCAAATCCTCCAAGAGTGATCTACCACCATTCTTATCCTGCGTCGGACGATCTAATGAAGTGGATTCTTCCAGACGACCTTGGTGACTTAGCAGGATTACAGCATACAAACTACACCAGGGGCATTACAGAGAGAGAGAGAGAGAGAGAGAGAGAGAGAGAGAGAGAGAGAGAGAGAGAGAGAGAGAGAGAGAGAGAGAGACAGACAGACACAGAGAGAGACAGACAGACAGACACAGACAGAGACAGAGACAGACACAGAGAGAGAGAGAGAGAGAGAGAGAGAGAGAGAGAGAGAGGAGTGTGCTCCAGTACCAACACTGGCCTACAAACAGTCCAGATGGGATGGTCCCATTGCTGAAAAGATACACAACATGCATGCTTAGGGCCGCAAAATCCAACAGGGAGATTGCCCGTCTCCAAGCTGTGAGAGCACGTCTCTTGGGATTTCTTCCTAACACTTCCCAACGGCAATTTTTGTTGTTGACATGTTGAAAAATGGCACAGGACATTTCAGCCATTTTTCAACAGGTCAGTAACAACAACCACAATAGTCACTGGGAAGCTGCTACCATCAAACACAAATCACACTGCGGCTACAAACGCAAAATCATAGAATCTGCCATCGTAGATACCACTCCCAATTTCAACATTTCACAGGGACAGTGGAAGCCAGACGTCATTCAAAATTCGCCCTCAAGAGGTATATGCCAGCACCCAACCTAATACAGGATGCCAGCACAAAATTAATTATCACATAGCACTATGGAACTTCCTACCTAAATTTTTAGCTTCACCAAAAGTCCTGTCTTCCAATACGCTCGTTACTTGATACGTTCCCCCACGTGCCACTCCCTTGTATGTTGTGAGGTGCAACCTTACTTATATAATCATGTTCTTTTATTTACGTATCTGCTGAAGAGGATCCCAGAAGGGATAGATATATACAGAATAAATAATCTTTTGAGTCTGTCTCAATGTGGATTATTAATCTTTATATATATGTCGTGCCGAATAGGCAGAACTTGCGATCTTGGCTTAAATAGCAACGCTCATCTTGCCATATAGGACAAGTGAAAATTTGTGTATGCAATAATTTCGCCAAAATCATTCTGAACCAAACGAAAAAAATATATTTCACCCGAATCTGCATGACAGTGTCTTCCATTGCAGACACTGCAAAGCTCCAGGCAGACATCAACCAAATCTTTCAGTGGGCTGCAGAAAACAATATGAAGTTCAACGATGAGAAATTTCAATTACTCAGATATGGTAAACATGAGGAAATTAAATCGTCATCAGAGTACAAAACAAATTCTGGCCACAAAATAGAGCGAAACACCAACGTCAAAGACCTGGGAGTGATCATGTCGGAGGATCTCACCTTCAAGGACCATAACATTGTATCAATCGCATCTGCTAGAAAAATGACAGGATGGATAATGAGAACCTTCAAAACTAGGGAGGCCAAGCCCATGATGACACTCTTCAGGTCACTTGTTCTATCTAGGCTGGAATATTGCTGCACACTTACAGCACCTTTCAAGGCAGGTGAAATTGCCGACCTAGAAAATGTACAGAGAACTTTCACGGCGCGCATAACGGAGAATAAAACACCTCAATTATTGGGAGCGCTTGAGGTTCCTAAACCTGTATTCCCTGGAACGCAGGAGGGAGAGATACATGATTATATACACCTGGAAAATCCTAGAGGGACTAGTACCGAACTTGCACACGAAAATCACTCATTACGAAAGCAAAAGACTTGGCAGACGATGCACCATCCCCCCAATAAAAAGCAGGGGTGTCACTAGCACGTTAAGAGACCATACAATAAGTGTCAGGGGCCCGAGACTGTTCAACTGCCTCCCAGCACACATAAGGGGGATTACCAACAGACCCCTGGCAGTCTTCAAGCTGGCACTGGACAAGCACCTAAAGTCAGTTCCGGATCAGCCGGGCTGTAGCTCGTATGTTGGTTTGCGTGCAGCCAGCAGCAACAGCCTGGTTGATCAGGCTCTGATCCACCAGGAGGCCTGGTCTCAGACCGGGCCGCGGGGGCGTTGACCCCCGGAACTCTCTCCAGGTAAACTCCAGTATTAAATTATTGCAAGCAAATCTAAAATATATTTAGTTGGGTTAAGCTAAAATAAATTGTTCTTGTTGTAATAAGGTTAGGTAAGTTTTCTAAGTTCCTTTTGGTGCAAAATTATAAATTTTTACATCAACATT